AAATGCTAAAATAACATATTAGGATTAATTTTATTTGTACAGTATTTATACAGGGTGTAATCCTTAATATTTAAGGGTGTGAATATACATGAAAAATTAATGTTAGTTTGCTTTATAAACTGTGGTCCAAAAATGTTTCCTTACAAAAACTCGGGGTGTTGAAGTTCTAGGGAAAAAAAAATTAATTAATATTTTCAGAACCGCTTCAGATATTTCACTGATATTTAGTACGTAGTGAAAAATAATAAAGTTGCATATGTTTCAATGCAAAAATGATTTTTAGCTTTAACAGACGCGTGCGTACGGCTATTGACTTCGATATTTTTTAAGAAAAAAACGGTACGCCAATGGTTTTTTGCCAGATAAAAATCATTTTTGAATTCCCCGTTCAATTTAAAACGAATGATCTCTCTTGAATGGTTTTCCTTCAATGCGCCATTTTTGAGGAAAAGAATAAAAACCGTTCTATTGTCTAAACTTGCAAAATTATTATTAATTTAATTGGAAAAATTAAACACACTGGGGGTAATAAACAACAACAACGAACAACATAAACATAACATTAAAACCAACGAAATGATTACAAACAAAAATTGTTGAAAATCTTCACTCTGCTTCCGCCCTCCTTCTCATGGAATTGCGCACTCTTTGAAATATCCCTGGAGTGTTTTTTATTCTATCACAAGCTGCAACTATTCTTTCTCTTAATTCCTCTACAGTGTCAATGGGACTTGTGTACACTAGTACACTTTATTAACTTCCACCACATACTATCAGTGAAATATCTGAAGCGGCTCTGAAAATATTAATTAATTTCCATTTTTTTCCTAAAACTTCAACACCCGGAGTTTTTGTAAGGAAACATTTTTGGAGCGTAGTTTATAAAACAAACTAACATTAATTTCACTGGTCAACACTGGTTTTGCCACACGAACTTTGACAGGTAATTTTGTTTTATCAGTCTACCCTCATTATTACATGACAGCTGTCATATGTCTATTAGCCTCATATTTGTTGTGATATGGTAATACTCATAACTCTTACTACGGCAGTAAATTAACAGAAACGCTTACAAGTAAATCCTTATAAAAATATTTGTTGTTGAATTTGAACACTTTTTTGTGATTTATTAACCCTGTGAATATGTCGAGGAAGTGTAATAATGATCCTAACTCTTTTTGTTATGTCTGCGGAGAACTAACATTCAAAAAACAACGACGAAATTTTACGAATCTTGTGTTGGAGTGTTATCACCAATGTTTTGGTTTTTCTGTCGCCCATCAAGACAAATCCTGTCTGTTGCATAACGTGTGTGAAAAATTTAACTGACTGGAAGAAAGGTGCACGACCTATGCCCATGATATGGACTGAACAGCGAGATCACGTTTCAGACTGCTATTTTTGTCTCACAGACATAAAAGGTATAAATTACAAGAAAAAAACCACAGTTATTTACCCTAACTTATCTTCCGCTATAAGATCAGTCTCTCATTGTAAAAAATTGCCAGAACTAATACCAGTTGCAACTACGTCTGTTGAGAACAATTCACAACCGTCCACTTCAGGTGAATGTGTTGACGAGGACGATGACTTTAAGTTAAAAGGAATTGTAAACAAGCCACATTTGGTAACTCAAGGAGACCTAAATGATTTGGTTCGGGATTTAAATTTGTCAAAAAAAGCAGTCAGAACTATTAGGATCACGTCTAAAAGAATGGAATTTGCTACATCATAATACAAAAGTTAGCTATTTTTGAAACTGTGATCAACACTTCAGAACGTATTTTTCTCAGGATGGAGATTTGGTGTTTTGCAATAACATAAATGAGATTATGAAAATGTTGGACATAGTTGGACATCTCTCTCAGTGGCGTTTATTCATTGATCCTTCGAAAGCAAGTCTAAAAGCAGTGTTATTGCATAATGGAAATGAGCTTCCGTCTGTACCTCTGGCCCATGCTGCAAATATGAAAGAAACCTATGAAAATATGAAACTTTTACTTGAAAAAATAAATTACAGTACAGTCCTTCAAAATCTGCGGTGATCTTAAAGTTGTTGCACTATTACTTGGACTTCAGCTGGGTTATACAAAGTTTTGCTGCTTTTTATGTGAATGGGATAGCCGAGACAGAACTAATCACTATATAAAAAAAACATGGCCAACGCGTGCATCGTATTTACCCCTTGTACAGCCAAATAATGTGCTTCTACCACCATTGCATATCAAATTAGGATTAATAAAAAATTTTGTGAAGGCAATGGATCGCAATGGGAGTGGATTTTTGTATCTAAAAGAAAAATTCCCTAAAATAAGTGATGCAAAGATAAAAGAGGGTATTTTTGTTGGCCCTCAAATTAGGGAGTTAATAAAAGATTCAAGATTTGAAGAAAAATTAAGCGATTTAGAAACATCTGCATGGAAGGCTTTTAAAAATGTTGTTTCAAATTTTTTGGGTAACCACAAGAGTGACAGCTACAGAGAGTTGGTTAGCGAGCTATTATTGTCATATCAAGCATTGGGTTGCAACATGACACTTAAGATCCATTTTTTAGACGCGCACCTGGATTTTTTTCCTGACAATTTAGGGGCTGTCAGCGACGAGCACGGTGAGAAGTTCCATCAACACATTTCTAATATGGAAAAGCGGTACCAGGGCAAATGGAGCCCAAATATGTTAGCAGATTACTGCTGGACAATTAAAAGGGACCGACCAGAAGCTAAATATTCAAGAAAATCTTAGATTATTAAGTCATTTATAAAAAAAAAATAACTTTTGATTTACGAGATCTGTGTTTTTTCTTAATATTTTAAATTACTCAGTAGAATAAAATCCTCGTCTAGCAAATTTTTTTTAACTGTTTATTTTTTCTTACAATCACCAATTAAAGTAAAAAATATCAAAAAAGTCCGTGTGGCACGACAAAGTTAAAATTTTGTTGACCAGTGTTTTCATGTAGATCCATGCCCTTAAATATTCGCATATCATTAAACCCTGTATATTGTCAGCTGACGATTCTACTTGCCTTTAAAGTTTATGTCACTCACTACACAAATGACAAAATTTGAAGAATCAAATGCATGCTGTTTTTCACGCGGTAATACTGTTGTCAATATGACAACTGAGGATGTGAAATTATTGTAAACTGTCGATGTGAAATTATGGTACCATTTACCAGCAAGGATAGGATTTCAAATATTCAAGTTTTTAACAAAAACCTTACATTTGGCACTGGCACAATCACCCTAACAACCTATATAATGATGTGAAATTATGGTACCATTTACCAGCAAGGATAGGATTTCAAATATTCAAGTTTTTAACAATAACCTTACATTTGGCACTGGCACAATCACCCTAACAACCTATATAATGATATGTATTTTATAGCACCTGTAATATACCCATGGACCATTACAGTCCAATGTACGTAGTCGTGCCATAAGTTCTGTCCAATGATAATCTCATGATAAAAATGAAACAAGATAAGATATATTTATATGAAAGATATTATTTATTCAACAACATTTTTAGAATTCATAATCAAACAGTTTTATTCAAAATGTCCCCCCTTGGCCTTCACACACTGCTTCAATCTCGCGGGCCACTCATCTATCACTGCACGCACAGCTTCCAAAGGAATAGCTGCCGCTGATCGGATCAAATCCGCTTTCAGGGACTCGATATTACGGTGGGCTTTGGAGCAGGCCAACTGCTCTAGCAGGTCCCACAACTTGTAGTCTAAAGGATTGAGGTCCGGACTCCCTGAGGGCCAATCTTCCGCAGCAATGAACTCTGGCACATTGCTTTCCAGCCAGCGCTGCGTACTCTTAGCCTTGTGAGCGGGGGCGGAATCCTGCTGGTAGACCCAGTGTTGGTTGGCAAACAATGTACCACTTAAAGGCTTGACGATAGGATCCAGTATGTCGCTCTGATAGTTTGCCGCTTTTGTTTTCACGCCCTGTTTACAGAAATGGAGCTAAGTGACCCCTTCGTAGGACACCCCCCACCAAACCATGACTGACGCAGGGTGGTGGCCTCTCTCAACTCTTGGAATGATCTCCGAAGCTTCCTGTGAACTCCTTGCATACACTTTGTCATTTTGTCGGTTGAATTTTTCTTCTATGGTGAAGATTTTCTCATCCGTGAACAAAATCTTTCGGAATCCCCCAGCTGCGTACCTCTCCAAGAGCTTCTTGGATCTTGTCGCCCTGATGTGTCGCAAGGTGGCCGTAAGTCGCTGGCCCGTACGTCTCCGGTAAGCCCCTAGCCCTAGGTCTTGTTTAATGATGCGCGACATCGTCCGGACAGGAATCTTCATTTCCCTGGATAGGATCTTCTGCTTCCGGAGTGGATTCCTTTGAATCCTGGCTTTTACGGCTTTGATGGCTGCTGGAGTCCTTACTTGACGAGGTCTTCCGCTTCTTGGCCTGTCATCAACAGAGGACGTCTCATTGTACCGCTGAATGGTCCTAGACACAAATTTGCGCGATATTTGAAGGCCGCGTAAGAGTTCAAAAATCTGACTAGCACTGTGATTACACTTATGTAAAGCTATCACTGCAATACGGTTCTCTGCCTTGCCCCACTCCATCGTTATGCTTCGAGAGATCAATACAAACTGAGGTATATGTAATTACCCGAAAAGCGCTTAATCAACTGACACCACAATGTAAACAATCGGACAAGTATTAACAGGTCTACACTTGTTTGAAAACGAGGGACAGAACTTATGGCATGACTATGTACATCTATTTAGTCAAAAAAAAAAGTTTTCTGGGATAATTGAAATTTGTTCTAGATATCAATCTTGAAAAACCAATCAAAATACATAACCCCATTTGAGACTGATGTGGTGAGTTCTTGTTCCTCAATTTGACTCACATACCAAACCCCAAGTAAGAGTAAGAGCAAGATCTCGTTTAAAATATTTACAAACTTAAAACATCCGATTTGATTTATAAAGGTAAATATTTAAAAAAATAGAAATAAATATGTACCTTTCTAGAGCTTCGCTGGATGTTCCACCATCATCCTTGATGTGTAATTCTGCATGCCCAAGTTGGAAGTCCTTATTCTCCAGATCAGCACTACGCATATTTGAGTAATCGTCTGTTGTTTCTGCTTTAACTGTTTCATTATCAGGCTCAAACTTAATGTCTTTATAGTCAAAATTGGCACTGCACACATCAGTTATCTCTGCTTTAACTTCTCCACCATGAAATTCGACTTTAACGTCTTTATAGTCAAAATCTGCACTACACATATCATCTTCAGTTAATTCTGCTTTAATTGCTGCATCGTCAAGCTCGACTTTAACGTTTTTATACTCAAAATCAGCACCATACATATTTGAGTCGTCCTCGGTTTCTTCTGTTTTGACTTCTCCATTACCAAGCACCATAGATTCCATCTTTACTTACACACTATGCACCACAACTATAATCTGTGCCACAACTATGCACTTTCAATAATTATTGCCAAAAATAGACTGTTGATCAAATTTAAACCAAACATTTAGTTTATAAATCGTACAAACAACAAACAGCATAACCTAACGCTGTCAGACACAGGAGATTGAACTCCAGCGTTGCCAGATGGGTCAGACAGAATTTCACCAGAACAAGCACAAGAATCCCGCAGAATCGCAACTTTTTCAAAAAAAGTTCCCCAAATCACAATTAATGGGTAGGATTACGAAGAGTGTTGGGGGGTGATGCTTTCTGTCCGCGAAACAAGTGATTTATCACCTTATAAAGACAGATGTTGTTCGTAAAATCTGTAAGCTGTAAGTTATTACGAGTCATCAATCAAATCCAAGCGAATAACCAAAATTTCTGTGTTATGTGCTGCGGTTAATAAATAATCTGGCTTAAGATGACACACGGGTTGATGACGTCAGTTACACGAATCGCTTGAGCGCGTTGGTTTTAACCGCGGTTTTGTTGCAAGTTGTTTATTTTAGAAAAGCGCGTATATAATCTCTGATTATTTTTATTATCACTTAATAATCGGTGCTTTTTCGTCTACAACTGTATATGGAAAGTTTAAATAAGAAACCTTTCATAATATTCATGGGAGAAATGTTTTTTTCAGATTTTTTTTTTAATGATGGAACCATGGCTTTGTAGCTATGATAACTTTCAATTCTATAAATTTTTCCGCATGTCAAAGAAAACATTTATTGATTCAGCGGAAATGATGAAAGAAGAAATTAGCAAAACCGTATACAGGTGGATATCATCTAGTGAGTTATATGGCCATATTTTAATATTCTTGTGGTATATGGCTACACAGGATACTTTGTTAAGCATAGGAACTACATTTAAAGTGTCCCCAACAACCGTAATGAGTATAACTAATAAGGTGCTCCACTTTATGGTAAAACTGAAGTCAGCCTGTATCAATTTTCTCAAAAATGAAGCTGAAGTACAATAACAATATCCAATACCCGGCAAAATTCTAACTTGTCACATTTCAAATAATAAACAGAAATATAAAACTACTCTTGAGTTGGGTAAATAACCACAATTTTGCGGTGATAACTATGACATATAACAGCTGATTCGTGACGTCACGGATCTTATAACCAAACTGATAACTACACTCGCTTGAACGGATCGGTAAATACCAACCCAAAATGGCAAATACCATTTCCATTTGGTTATCCGCTTGAATTTGATTATCATTTAGTTTTCTCTCGAAACACGTGTGAGCCAAGGATAAACAGATCAACCGGCCGGTTCAGATCATACTATTCCGGTTTTTTTCTGTTTCATGACTATGGATACAAATCTACCAACTACCAACTTGTTAATTATTATTATTCTAGAAGTTTTGTGGACATAGGTGCGAGTGTGACCATGAGGAAATGAAAAGCACCAGAAAGATAAAAATATTTTTCAGGAGTGTTCATATTTGTGTGGTTAAAAATGCAATAAAATAAGCTATAATTTTTTCTGTGACGGGAAAAGGTTTATCTCTGTTGACAGGTAACAAAATCTTATTTTTTATGAAATTGCTTTTTGCCCGGGAAAAACATGAGTACTCTTTTCCCGGATATTGTATAAACGATTTAGCTGGCAATAATTTTTGTGACGCTACATTGGTTACTTCTACTAGTTCCGGTGGAATTAAAACAAAACTTGGAATCAGACATTTTTTACTTTACAGTATTAAAAATAACTTCTAAACAACCACTACGTTCACAATTTTTAAGTCAAATCACACAATTAAGTTGACAGCTAGGTATTTGACTACTTTAAAAGTTTCCTTACCAACGCAGGTCTAATTGTCGCTATAAGTCAACATAGCCTACTAGTTTCAAAGTTCAAATTTCACATCGATAGTTTTCTGACTTAAATATTGTAATAATATAATTTTTCAATATTAAATTGTCGTTTTTCTGTCACAGAAAAAAATTGTGTATTATACACCGGAAAAATACTAGATTTTAGCTTTCGGTTGTTTGTCTCAAGCTAAAATCTAGTACTTTTTTCCCTTGTATAATAAATAACGATTTATCTCCCAACAATTTCCCAAGGAAGAAAAAATCTCCCAAATTTGGTTGAAAATCACTCAATACGGCAACCCTGCTGAGCTCACACAATGAGCTGCTAGAGCTGACGTGCAGTGTTGCCAGGTATAGCCCACCTCGTTTCGGCAGATTTTTGCCATTTTTTTTCGGTCGACACACGGTACGTAAAGCAAAAACTTGCCGATGATTAAAAAAGCGGAAGAGGGGAGGATCAAATGCTGAAAAGCTGCTAGCTAAAAAATTAAAGAGCTCAGGGTTGAAATCCCTTCTCCCTGTAACCGAAAATTCCAGAGTGGAGGAGCATCAAATGCTGCAATTTAAAATCTTGAAGAGCTCAGAGTTGCACCAAATCGGATGTGGCGGCAAAGTGCTTTATTCTTGTGTTCTTTTGAATTATATCAGAAATATACTGAAAGATTTATCTGCAGAGTTTGCATTAAAATCGGTAGTACGGTAGATTGAGACTGAGATCGGTAGATATACCGAAAAATCGGCTGGCAACACTACTGACGGTTGACCACGCGCCATTTTAGGGAAAAGGGGGAATAGTGCAGTACCTGAGCCTCGCAGTCACACTTCAAGCTAGGGGGCAGGAAGGGGGGAAGAGCAATTGGCTCCCTCCTTCCTCAAGGTTTGAGTTTGCCGAGAAAAGGGGTTGTGGGTTACCGCCCAGGGTAGGAGAATGTGTTTGTGTGCTACGACGCCTGATGAACGGAATATTCGCAATTCGTAAGAAATAGGTGACAGCTTGAGGTACAAAAATGAGTGATCAGAGTTGCATAAGCCTCTTACATTTTCTGGCCTCGAATAATACAAGTTAATAGCTGTTGGTTCCAACAGGACGGTGCTCCCGCACATAACTCTAGGCAAGTTCGAGAGTATCCTTCTCAGCGATTTCCCGGAATGTGATTGGAACGTTCAGTGAAGTGTTCTGACCAGCGCGTTCCTCGATTTAACTGCTCTGGACTTTTTGCTTGGGGTTTTATTAAAAACCAAGTTTATTTGGTTGCAACGCCTACTTGAATAAAGTAATAAAAAAAATAAAAACTAATTTTTCTTAATAACTAAGAAAACCAATATAGCATGGATACATCGTTGAATTTGTCTAAAAAAGATGCTATCCGATATAGGGTACTTCTTTCGAACCATATAAAAAAAGTTGAGGGTTTCTGAAAAACGAAGCGTCGGGCACAAAATTTAAAATCACTATCATGTTGTGTCTAAAAAATGTCAATAAAAAAGACATTGTTTTTTGATATTTCTTAAAATAAAGTCAGAAAAAAAATAAAAAGTATTTGGCTGAATTTTAGTTTTTCCCAAATACCTCAGTAAGCCATGAAATTTTTACAAGTTTCTCAACGGCATGTAAATCAGCCCGCAAGAACGTAGTTTTTGCATGCTTGTTGCATCTTCTGTTCAGGCCCTGGAAGTCATAACGGCAAATTGCCAGTTACCCTGTATAATGCGCTTAGCAACGTGTTTACACTCTACCGACGACAAAAATCGTAAAGACCGTCTCCCTTCTGCGGAATATTTATTGCTCTTTTAAAAATGCAGATACTATGTAACATACTGGATTCATATTCCCTCGTCTACTCTATTTTTTCACATTTCATTGCCACATCTTCACCGCACATACGCATGTCTTCATTTTCTCCATGCAGGTCGATAGCCCAGTGAACTTATTTTAGAATTCTACGAAATATTTTTGGATGAAGTATCGAGATTATACAAACGACCCCATAATTATAAAAATAAAGGAACTAATGAATCGGCTCAACAAGAAATCCTGTTGGTATCCATCACACACGTGGGGATCCCAGGACTCGAAACAGCCGATCGAACTGCTACGGACGTAATGCACGACATCCCCTATCATGACCTTGAAGTGCTTATAAGAAAAGAACAAAGGACAATCACCGTCCATGTCCGCAGAAAAGAACAGGAGCATGAATAAGGATTGTTAACCCGAGCGGAGTAAGTTTCAGCGCATTGGCTTCATCAGGCCCAAATGGACGTGCATCGAAAACAAATGCTCATCGCGCTTGGATTCGGGTGTACTCCGAAGGAAAAGGATAGAAGCCACCAACAGGAGCCTGCAGGGATATTTGTGGCTTGGGTCAGATAACCTCTTGCTTACGAGGTATGAACTAACATCGCCACGGAGGTCAGCGATAGCCCATGACTATGGATGTTGTGATTGTCCTTAGGTGGTAGACGGTCTCTGACTGTCGAATGCGGAGGTACCACCCGGCGGATCTCGTAGACGAGGCCAGAATGTCTGCATGTTGCATGCACACGTCGACCCTCGCGTGTGGCGTGACACCTTTCCCCTGAGGTGTTTAGGTCTTAGGCCTTCGTGGCAGTTAGAGTATAAAAAAAAATACAGAGAAAGACAATTGATCTTGCGGAAACTTTGATGAAAAACAAGGGCCAATCATGGACATGGTCACAATAAAGAAAGCACTTGACGTTAGCTTCAGGTCAAGCAGATGTTAGCAATCTAATAAAAAGTCAAGCAGTTTTCATGTCCATCTGTCAAATATTTGAAACTTGAAGTAGTCTCGATATTGCTTGATAATGTTTATGATATATTATGGAAATGGTAACTGACCGGATTTTGAACCATACTCTTATATCATAATGATTATTTTTAAATTGTACCTATTAAATAACATGTACAAAAACAAGCGATCGAAGTTGCACATACCTCCTTCATCTTCTGCCCTCCAAATATACCGAATTGCAACGTCGCATTAGCGCCTAAGGTGGTTCAATAAGCATTTAGGTAGTGGCGAAATGATGTGGACTATAGAAGATTAGCGTCACCCCATCGCTAAAACAGTTTTTGGCGAAGTGTCTGAAATTACATTGTGGTATCCAAAATCCTACATGCAGTTAAACTGTGGTGTCTGTGATACAGAAGGTAGTCAGGAGGAAGATAAGCATCCAGGTAATGAAGGTCCCCTGAAGGTAGTTGACCGCAGAACACTGTATTATTTTACGTGTCTCGAAACTAGCAGGAAGTGCTCTGCTAATGATGTAAAGGCGACTGTTGTCATTCTAACGTATTTGGAATTTGAGACATCGTCGCTTAAGTTGTAACACCACAAAACGCAAAAAAGTAACTTATGTATTTTTCTTGAAAAAGCTACCGTGATTGCCGAAATGCCATCAGTAGGCACCACCAGCTTATGAGCTTTCATTTGCGACTAGACAAACATGGAGGATTAT